TGTTCTGACGCCTGATTGGACTGATGTTTGTGTTTGGACTCATTGCCTGCCTTTCCACTATTGTCTCTGCCTCTGCCCCTGTGTATGACGAACGATCTGCCTGCTTCTCTGACTTTGACCCTCTGCCTGATTATCGACATCTGTTTAAAGCCTTGACCTTTAATAAACTTCCGCTCATGGATTCTAACCAAACTCCAGCGTCTCTGTTACAGAATACTTCGCCTCCTATGAATCCAGCGGAAGTGTCGAATCTGCAAGCAGCATTCTCATACCAAGCTGAAATGCTCCAGAAATATCAGGAACAACTCACCAAGCTGCAGACCGTCAATGAACACCTGACGCACTACAGTTGATCTCTCCCTCCACCCACTCCTAAGACCGTAAGTCTCGCTGTTCCTGACAAATTTGACGGTACCGCTGAGCAATGCAAGGGCTTCATTCGCCAAGTACAAGTTTATCTGGATCATCAAGGAGAGAGATTCGAATCAGAGGGCAAAAAATGCGCTTTCATCATGACACTGTTGACGGGCAAAGCTATCGACTGGGCTGCAGCCGTTTGGGACTCAGATTCACGCTTGAGGAATTCAGTGACATACTTCATTCAACAACTCCGTGAGGTGTTTGACTATCCACACGGCGGAAAGGACGTTTCGACACAGCTCATCAATCTGACACAAGGTAATCGTCCCGCTGCTGAGTTTGCCATTGAGTTCAGAACCCTCGCTGCCCAGAGTGGATGGAATGATGTCGCTTTAAAAGCTATGTTTCACAAAAGTCTCAACTGCGATCTTCAGGCAGAACTTGCATGCAAGGGTGAGGAGTCCTCCTTCTCCGATTTTGTCACACTCGCCATCAGGATTGATAACCTCACGAGACAAGCTCTTAAAAGGAGAAGTGGAAAAGGGGGGCGAACCAACGATCTCACACCCAACCCTGTGGAAATGTCTTCCCCTGAGGAACCCATGCAAATAAACGCGTCCCGACTATCTGAGAGTGAAAGAGAACGGAGACGACACAACCGGATGATGGCACTCAAAACAACTGTTAAAGGAAACCAGAAAAAAGTCACCCGCTTTCATTCGCTTGCACTTCCCCCCCAAATGAGCTTCTCTTCTTCCTCTACTTCACTCCTGCTGCGGTGAGCAAAACAACACCACAGAAGAGATTTCTGCAACTACAACTATATTTGATAACAAAGAGGTACAGTAGCCTTTGTGTTTTATTCATCTTTTTCTGTTTGCACTCAAAGAGTTATTTCGGCTGTAACTTTCTGCTATTTGACTCTTGCAAGATCAGTCATGTGTGATGAATTTTAAGCACGCTACATACTATCATTAGTTAGCTCTCCGTTTATAAAGCTTAGAAATTTAGAACCAGGGCTAGTTGTTATAAAGGGAATTTGTCAAATATTAACTAAAGTTTTGACTCCAGTTAACCCTTTAAAACTTACTGTATCACATTTGTTGTGCAAATTTCTAAGGCTTTGCAGAGTTTTATGTGTGTACACTCTAAAAAATGCTGGGTTAAATACAACCCAGTGCTGGGTAAAATAGGGACAAACCCAGCAATTGGGTTGTTTTGACCCAGCGGTTTGGTTAAATGTTTAACCCAACCTTCTGGGTAGTAACCCAGGTGCTGGGTCAAAACAACCCAATTGCTGGGTTTGTCCCTATTTTACCCAGCACTGGGTTGTATTTAACCCAGCATTTTTTAGAGTGTACAGAGGTGGCTGTGCAGAGCTGAATTTGAGGTCAAAGAGATAAGGATGAGACTATTCTACATATCACTACTTATTTATGCTCAAAGTAGAGAAATATGTAGTATGAAGAAATTCTGTTAATTTCAAACACCTGCTTCAAACCCCTTAAATTAAGTACACACTAAAAAACACTGGGTTAAAAACAACCCAATTTGGGTAGTTTTTAACCCAAGGGCTGGGTAAATATAGGACAGAACAAATGTTGGGTTAATTTTACCCAGCAAATTGGGTTATTTAACCCAGCATAATGGGTTGATTCATGTTTACTATAAAGCTACTAGTTTATTTTTGACTTCAGATATTAAATAATGTTTACAGATTAACATAAATCCTCTAAACCTTTGTAAAATACTCCACACAACCACACTGTAAAAAATAAACTGCTGAGAAAACATAAAAAAACAAGCTAACTTGATGCAGTAAGACTTTTGAGTTGTCTCATCAATTCTTTTATAGTTCTTCTAAGTAACAATACTGCGTTCAGCCAACCTAAATTTGTTTGTTCATGCAATGACCATTGTCTTATTTTGCTTACAAAGATATTCTTGTCACAGCAACTGAAACAACAATTACTGTTGAGTAAATTTATTATTTTCTGTTTCCTGGATGAAAAAAAAAAAGTGTGTAAAAAGTCCCCACATTACCATTTTTACATCTATTTACGAAAGACAAACATGGACTCATTCCTTTTATCAGTGTTAAAATAAATGTATTTTAACTAATTGCAGAGATCCGAAGTGGTTATCTGATTCAATTATCTGATATCAATTCTGACAAGGGTTTTTATGTAGTTTCAAGAAAACTGCATTTCTTAGTATTTGAGACTCAAAAGGTTTCGTTAGTTGCATTTTTTACAGTGCACTGGTTTGCATGATAACTTCCTTTTATTTAGGCCTATATCCTCAGTATTGTTTATATCGTTTTTAATACGTAGGCTATACATATTGCCTATATTTAAGCTCGTTTAACAAACATTATAAGTAAAAATTAAATATTAAACAGAAGTAATTCACGTGTAATCGACCAGTCTCTGTTATTCTGTTTCCACCGTAACGGCGCTGGTTCTCGTGCCCGAGCTGGAGTCGTGTTCGGCGGGAAACTGCTAACGGCTAAGACAGCCGATCTGCGTTTCACTCTTAGCCGAAATATGCTGCGACTGCCTCCATAACCTGCCCATAAACAAACAGTAAACAGCTCTGAGGACATATTTTAACATCAAAAGTATTTATATTCTGTATCTTTATGAATAAAATAGTTTATTTTATGCAAAGCATCAGGCTTTTCCATCACGTGAAAAGACCGACACGACGCTCGTTTAGGTGACTCGCACTGCGCGCCTGTATGATGCTTTGCATAAAATTGAATGATATACAGCACCGTAACGATTTTATAGATAAAATAAAATGTACACAAACCTGTATTTTACCGAAGAAATGCATCAATTCGATGGCGCTTAGAACTGCTCTCTCCTGAAGAAGACGCAAAATCCCCCGCAATAAATAACTCAACCGCTGGGTTACGTCTGACCCAGGATCTGAGTAACACAAAAACTACCCAAACATTGAGTCGTTACATTTGACCCAGGAGCTGGGTAACAATAAAACTACCCAAACATTGGGTTGTTAACATTTGACCCAGGAGCTGGGTAACACTAAAACTACCCAAAAACTGAAAAAATAACCCCAAAAATTACCCAAAAGGCTCCACCCAACATTTGGGTTAAAAAAAATAACCCAGGATTTTTTTAGAGTGTAATGAATGCATTATTATTTAATAAACAATTGTTTATCTTTTCGTCTTTCCATCAGATGAAGCCCATGCTGCAAAAGATCACAACTATATCCCAGCTAGAAGAGTGTGGATTCGGTCAGCCTTGGCCCAGACATGGACTCAAGCTCTTGTACTGGTTTGCTAAAGACTGTATTTGGATTAATGATGATGACGACATGTTTCTGGCATGTGACCCGGCAAAGGAAGACTTCGGCTTTCACCTCTTTGAGAACAGATACACTAAATGTAAAGGGAAACTTCTTCCAGATTTGGAGTTTCCCTACTACTTGCTGGGCAATCTGAATTCACCAGGAGCTGATATCCTGCCAAACTACATCAAGGAACACAACACCGGCCAGCAAGACGACAGCAACGTGGACCGCATCATTGTCACCGCTCACGGAGAGTGGAGGTTTGGGAAAATTTACGTGACCACGCACAAAGATCAGTCAAGTTTTGATCCATACGCCACATTTCATATCTCCAGGAGCCTCCTGAAGAACATCAAATCATTCCAGAATCTAGAAGACTTTCTGCAGACCATTGGATATCAGAAGCCAGAATTCCGGATGGCTATGTTGAGTATTAGCGATGTTTACGCAGATACTGATACACCATCTCGAAACTGTGTCTGTAGCTGTACCATACTCTGAAATTATTTGGGAGGAAAAGTTGCAGGGAAAGTCTCTGAGAGGCTTTTCACACTGGGTAAAGGAACAATTCACACTATTAATTTAGAAGTGGGTTATGAAACCCCTTTCCGGAGCAGGATCACCACCGCTTTTGCACCACTAACACCGCATTTATGGCTAGACATTTAGCAACCGACAGTCAATCATGTGCCTCATAAAACCCTTTCACACATACAGTATTTACTGGTAAATTAATATTAAGAGATCATGTGTAAATAGGACCTTTTCAAAAATACCGGTAAATTCGTTCTGGCAGTTTACTGGTATGAGAAGTTGTAACATTACAACTAGTGGCAATGTGCTCTGTGTGAACGCAGAACGAGATTAGATGTCTACTCTGGGCCAATCATAACATTCTGATGCAGATGACGCATTTACTCCTATTGTGTTATTTTACTATATATTATGTTATTTACTCAATATGGTATTATCTTACTTAAAAATATGATGTATGGTCATGAAAGTGTGAAAGAAAAATTCATTTTATTGATTTTGCATGATTTTATTCATATGCTTATGGAACATTGTGTATTGCCTGCTTTACTTAGAACTGCTTTGAAGTCAGAATGAGATATGGTTTGGGGCCTAAAGAAAAAGATGTATGGGTGACAAGGGGTTCGTGCAGGCCTAAGTTGGGCTCGGGGGGTGGGTGACAACTGGGAGACCCAAAGACGCCTGTCCATGACCTAGAAGGTCACCATGTCCCTGAGGGCCCGAGTCTTAGAAGTATGATATAGTGGAATGTGCTTTTGACTTTCTTACTATGTGTGGGAAAAAAGTACAGTTGTTAAGAGATGTAACCTTGAAAGCTAGGGAAGAGATAAAGGTGGAGGAAACCCTCCCTTCTTTGTCGCACTCTGCAGCAACTTGTGTTTCTGTATGACTGTCTGACCTTTCTTGCAAGAAATAAAACCTTTGAAAAAAGAGTGAGTTTGTCTCTTATGCGGCGGTGAGAGTCATTTTTATTTTGCCACAACAAAAGTAATCAATATACTGATCAATATGCTGAATTATTCCAATACTGGATGTCTTAATACAGATTGTAAATCTGAGGGCTTATCCATTGGGCAGTACTGGCGGTTTCCATTTGATTGTACCAGTGAACTTAACCCTATGAACTTTGGGTGATTTCTAGAATATGACAGGTACATGTAAACAAGTTTGATGAATGTCTCATATGACCACCGCCATCCAATAGGAGGCAGCGGAATAAAAGTTTTTTAAAAATGGCTGATTTGGCCAAATTCCACCATTAAAAAATGGACCAGGTGGGCTAGTAATAAACTGTGGCAAACCAGACAGGCATAACCAATAAAAAAAACGGAATTACCAATTTTGGTTAGAAAGACGGGTATAAAATTGATGCGCAGACAGACAGAGACTCAGATGCAGCTGAGATCTCGGCTTTGTTGCTTTGCACAATAAAGTCTTATTTTGACATCTGGAACTCTGCTTTTTGAGCTTCATTGACTACATTGAATTCATCACTTGCTCCACAGCACAATACTCCGTGATGTTTACGGAAGTCAAAAATGTCTTAAATCATCTAATATGATGTCTCTGGGCCAAAAGCAGCTGCACTACAAACCAGTGTGTTCATAATTAAGATTATACATTAGAATAGTATGTTAAGGACAGTCCATATTAAGCGCAAAACAAGCTGTTTTGTAAAAATTGCTGGAAGTGAATGACACCGGAAGCCAGACACATTCAATTTACAAATGGCCGCGCCCGTTCTTAAAGGAAAAAATAAAGTGGATAGCCCTCCATGTTTACAAACACAGCATTTATGTCACAGAATTCACCGGTATTTTGAAACTGATGTGCGAATGGTGCTTTACCGGTAAAAAGAGGGAACGTCCTTGCCTGTGTGAAGTTGAACAGCGCATTTTTGTATTTACCGGTAAAGTCGTTCCGGTAATTTACGGCAATTTACAACGTTACTGTATGAAAGGGGCTATAATCATGTGCTTTGGACAATCACGGAAACACCGCGTATAAACAGTCATTTCAGCGTTTGAGAGAAAAAATGTCAAATGGTGACCAAACACGTTTCATTCTTACATTTAGTCCAAAAAGTCCATTCTCTGGAGAACAGTCGGCAGTATAAAATAATGAGGACACATGCTAGAGGGTGCCACTGCTCCGGGGGTGTGTGTGTGTTCACTGCTGTGTGTGTGCACTTAGGATGGGTTAAATGCAGAGCACTAATTCCTAGTATGGGTAACCATACTTGGCCACATGTCACTTTCACTTTCACTTAGAGCCGTTAATGTGTCATGGAATTTGTCAAATGAATGTGTCATGGAAATGGAATGTCATGGAATTTGTCAAAGTTTGGATGAATTAGTCACTGGAAGTCATTAGCCTACACCTAAATCAAATCCTGATATGGACTATCTGTAAATATTAAGCCGCAAAATGACTATTTAAATATGAATCTTGCATGACGCTGGCTGTGTTTTTCAGCATATGCCTTCTCACATAAATACATGAACAACATCCCCAGAACTGCTCTGAGAGTCAAAAATATTCTGCCAGAAATGATATTAGGCCTATATTGTTCAGTAGAATGTACGTACAACTACTACTAGGCTACTGAAATTATTAAAACTTTATTTATAAGGAATAATCACACAATATTTCTTCCATGTTTTAATTTTAATTGTAAATCCCGTTTGCCAAAAAAAATAAAATTTGTTTAATTTTCATTATTTAAAAGATAAATTAAATTAATGTGTTATGCCTTCATTCGATAACCAGAAAAATTACACAACGCAGAATTTCGAAAGAAAAAAACATTTCATAAGGCTATTAATAAAAGTAATTTTTATGCATTCAAATAATTAGTCATGCTAAAACACAGAATTTGGTAACAATATTTTGTTACACTTTTTAATAGATTGATGTTGAATTGCATACGTTTCATGATTTAAATTGATTAGACATGCTTTTGATTAATACAATTTAATTTAACCATTTAAAAAGTCAAAAAAATGGAAAAAAACGGAATCCAGAAAAATAAAACGGAATTTGGGAAAAAATTAAACGGATTTCATAGGGCCCTAGCCTAGTTATTTATTTATTGTGGCAATTTGAAGGTCGTGTCAAAAAGTTGTTGGTCTAGTCTAGTAGATAGCCTAAATAGCTGTAGTCTGTACGTTTGAATCGTAGGCTATACGATAATTTTCTTCCAAATACGACGATTTTGAGCTTCTGGTACGATACTTGGACATTTCCAATCATGCAACACTGACCCAGTGTTTAGGATTGTAAATTGTGAAATGTCAGCATATGAATACCCAGGATTAATAGTTAACCCCGGGTAAATTAGAAGCAGTGTGAAACGTGGAGCCAGATAAACAAGGACTTCGTTTAGCCGGGTTTTTGAATGACCCAGGGTTACCTAAATAGTGTGAAAAGCCTCAATAAGCCATAATGGCTTTAAATTTATATTCAGAGTTCGTTCGACAGTATTTGTGACATTGTTGATTATCACCAAAATAATTAAAAATAAATTCAAATTAGAAATAACTTAAAAACTTATTGAAAAGTAACATTTGGGTTATAAAAACGCACTTACAATGCAAGTGAATGCTCTGTAAGAATGTGTGCATCAGGAAAGTCAGCTGATAAGACCTGAAGGATCCTCATGAGCTCTCATTACAAATCAGTCTGCTTCAGCAAGGTAAATGGCATTTTTTCCCCACAATAATACCTGCAGATGTATAGTATTTTGTTACAGCTTATTTATTGTGATAGGCCAAACTGTTTCTTCAAACCAAGCAGATAAAGTTGTCAAGAGCAAGAGGAGACAGATAAGAAATGAGCAGCAATATTGAATAATTTTAGTTGGGTCTTAGCAAAAAGAGACAGAAATTTCCTCTGTTAACAACAGTTATGACCTTGAAGGGAATCAGCCGCTTATCAGGGTGTATGAGATGATACGGTGGATCTCTCAAAGTTACAAAGTCTGCTCTGCACAAAGAAATTAAGACCTCCAGGCCAAAAAAATAATATATATATAGATATATTAATGTGACTGTGTAAATTTTTTATATTTGTTACTTCTTGGAGATAAAAGTTGGATGAGGGTAAGTTTTCTAGGGTAGGTATTGCCACCCTTACACATCATGGAAAAATTTGTTGTATAGGTGTTAAAAAAAAAAAAGATTTTTACTGGAAAAAAAAAAAAAGATTTTGAGAACAATGTTAATTAAGGAAAATTAGTATGTAAAATACATATAATGCAATATAGTAATGAGAATTTGGGAGGAAGTTCACTTATATTAGAAAAGTCCAGGTTTTCCAGGTGTGTAAGAAACCTAGCTAAGATCAAAACACCAATACACCAATCTTTGTATAATAGAAAGTTTTAATTTCATGTGTATCACAGGCATCATGTCAAGATATTTAAAAATGAAGAATACCTTTGTTTAAACCTTCATTTAAACTCACAGACACACTTGCACAGCCACTCTTTTGCAAACATACAACAAGCTGCAGTGTATAAGAAAATTAAGATATTAATGTACAGCAAAATTCTCCTCAAATCTATGTGTCTATAAATAAGGTCGGATGTTGTCATGATCGAGCCATTTCACAGGGAAACACTCTGCGGTCCCTTTCCTGGCTCTTCTGCTCAGAGCTGACCCTAATGGAAGCTAAAATACATATACCTGATCGCCTTTATTGACAAACCTATGGACAACAGTTTATAACCATTTAAACATTATTCTTATCTATTGTGACTCTTATAACGAGAAAGGAAAAGTAACCTGGCCTCACCCTCCAATACATATCACACATAAAACTGCTCATTCACAAATACATTAACAGTCAGCCTCTCAACAACTACCACATTTGAAGTCACTTCTACCTGGGCAGGGCTGTGATCCTGAAAAGAAAAAGTCAATCTCAATAAAAGGCCTAAATAACCTAATAATTCTTTCCTTTATTTGATCACATCTACTTTACACTAAACACAAAAACCAAACATTATGTCCAAACATTCCAGGACTGGTCGATATTGAATACTCATGATATATCTGTGATTACATAGTTGCAAAAATGCTTACTTTGATCAAGCATGCATGCATAAATAAAATATACAAATAAATAACTAATATTTGATATGCACATAAATGTTACTTGCTCTAAAATAGAAGTGCAATTTTTGCATGACATTTTGTGTGTATAAGT